CTAATTCACCGGACGGAAGTATCCTTGCTTGACTGGATACCTGTTGATAGTCGCCTCTATGCGGTTCGTCTGGTAACGTCTGCGAAGGCGTCTCACAAGCAGCAAGTTGATAGATGTCTGTTTATCGTGTCTGCCTACGCCCCAACTGACTGTAGCTCCGACGCCGTCAAATACAAGCTCTACGACGTCCTGAATGCCATGCTGCGGCGATCTAAAAGCTCAGACATCGTAGTGGTTGCCGGAGATACGAATGAACAAGTGGGCAGGTTTGGTTTATCTGAGACTCAATTAGGAGGCCGGCCCAGATTGGATTCGGTACCTACAGACAATGGGGAACGGTTGCTCCATCTATGTGCTGATCACCGGCTGTTTTGATGCAGTACTAACTTCCGAAATAGCTGGAGTCCTCTGACCACATGGTGTCCTCCAACGGCATGCAGGCCACAAACCCAAATCGATCAGATTTCCGTCAGTTACTGATGGCGCGGATCAATAACTGACTGCCGGTCGTTTTGGGACGTATTTGTGGGTTCCGACCACGCGCTCGTCGGGAGTCGCTTCTCAGTGAGTATAGAGAGTACAGCCAGAAGGATCGCATTTCAGGTGGAAAAGAGCATCTGCGTAGATCGAGAAGCTTGGTGGATCAAGAAAGCTATCGGGACAAATAGAGTGAAAACTTCTGGAAATATGCGTAAACTGTCCTAGCCAACACGTGTCGTAAAAAATCGTCCAACTGTAACACCCATCCGGTGCCTAGCTGGCATGCCACCCGAAGGAAGCACGAGGGCTGGGATACTGCCAGATTGCCCAAGCCTAGACAGGGGAAGTCGAGTGGCAGAGGTCGGGTTCGAACCACGGATCTTCCTGTTAGTAAATCCGCGCTCTAACCACTTGAGTCATCTCGCCAATACGTGTAACAGGTTCAGAAGCCTCCGGGAAACGAAGCAACCACTGATAAAAGCGGCCCGCTCACATCTGAAAAAGGATGTCAGAATCGTTGGGTTGAACACCTTCAATAACAGCTCAATTGATCACTTACAGTAGCTCAGCCGGATTCATTACCTGCAGCCCGACCTGCGGCAGTGAATCTGGAACCTCCTATGGTTCCGGAAATAATCGAATGCCCTTCCTCCATCACGCATAGCCGAGCTGCTACTTCTGACCAACTCTAACCTGCTGCATTCAAAGATGGAGCTGAAATCCTCAGTTGGTGCTTATCTAGCTTAATTTCCTCTATATGAGCGAAAAGGACTGTATCAACCAACTGTGATGAGCCGGCATTCCCCCCCATTTTCAAAATCGAAGTTCGCAATCGAAATGACGCAATCACAGAGGAATTGGACTGACCCCCGTTGTGATCAGACACAGTGTGTCGCTAATCTCACATCTTATGTAGGTGCGTGAAGACGGAGTTCCAGAACATCAAGCACCATTCTGGCCGGGAAGGGGCTGCATGTACCACGTCGTGTCAGAGCAACAATATGCTTCCTAGAATCCTCATTTTCTTTGACTTCAAGGGTACGTTCGCATCTATCGGCCGATCGGTTCTTTTCAACATGCTTACGCGACAAGGTCTGTCACGGACTTTCGTGAACATCATGTGCTGTTTGTATTTACAAACCTGTTGACGTGTGAGAACGTGTGGTGGGCTCTTCAGAAGCTTTTCTACAAGCAATGGTGTCCGATAAGGGTGCCCACTCTCCACTTTTAGTTAGTTTCGTCATTAATGAGGTAATAAGGTAAGCTTCAAAAATCCGTGTGAGAACCCTGTGGATGAGATAGCTCAAGTGGTTAGAGCGCGAATTTACTGACCGGAAGGTCTAGGGTTCGAATCCGACCTCCACCTCTCGACTTCCCCTCTCTAGGCCTGGGCAACGTGGCAGTTTCCCAGCCCCCGTGCTTCCTTCTGGTGGCATGGCATCTAGGCACCGGAAGGGTACGACAGCTGAACGCTCACCCTGTGGACTTGGACTATACAAAAGACATTGTTTTCGTTTTTTTTAACAGCAGGAGGAAGCGCAGGCATTACTTAAAAGCTGATCAAGGTCATCCTTCAGCATGCGTTTCGCGCCCACAAACTGCGAAGCCATGTTGCGGGACATGCAGTGCATGATCATACCTCTGCGAATCCAAGGGGTGACACCGGAATTTTTGGAACGCTATACGCACCTCATAATTTGCATTAACTCTGACGGTAGTGCGACAGGTGAAGTAGGCGCACAAATTTCAAAGACCATGAACTCCTTTGCCAACTTGCACCAGCTTTGACATCAAAAGGGCATATTGCTGCATCTCGGAGGATGCTATATGCCTGGGAGACTTGACCACTCCAGATGAAGAATCGGAGATATCTTCAGGTCTATTCCCACCAGATAACTTGAGACCTCCTCAGTTTCTGACCGCTGATGTCTCACGGTTTTGCTGGTATCGGACGGCGTCAATGATTTCATAACAAGGTATCGAATTGTTTCCGAGGCGTTCGCTCACAGACATTGAGTACGCGGATAATATTGTTTTCGCTGGTTCAGATCCATGAAAGAGGCAAGTCATACTAAGGCTAAATAATTATGCCTCATGGTTTTGTATGCGCTTTACACATGTCAAGTGTAAAGTGCTGTTACAAGACTCGCTGGGCATAAACCGAAGCGTCGTGCCTGCAGACCAGCCGACTGGCGTGGTAGGTATATTTTTTTTACCTGGACACAAATTTCAGTCGACTGATTGGAAACAGGAATATTTCTCGAATCCAGAATGCCAGGGCAGTTTCTGCCAACCTCCAATAACTATGGTACCGGCATGGCACACAAAATGTCCCAATTCTCTTCACAAGTGAAGACTAACTATAACGACAAGTTTGCTTAAATTGTGTCGTTAGATAACATTTAAACACGCGGATTCATCGCCCACTACCCACTGTTACGTAGCTACGTGACGATCACTGTTATATACGAAGTGGGGACGAGCGCACAAATCCCTTGCTACGGCGTGAGTGCAGCCACTTTTGGCACAGAACACGGAGAAAATGCGGCCTTCGGAGAACTTTATTTGCTCGACCGAACGCGATCTACGGTGATAGCAATACCNACGAAGAAGAACGAAAACTCTTTGGCACACACAAAATGTGACTAGCCAATATGGGAGAAATTCGGTCCTTTGAGAAATATTCGAGATGCGGAAAAAGGTGCGAAAAATTGTAATTGAAACTCCATAAAACTGGCTTGTCAACAATGAGACAATGAGAGCTTTTTGGGATACGACATCCCCAATACCCACTGTCCAATACAATCCGCAAAGCAGACCCTCCGCAACTTTAACATGAAGGCAGACGATCAGAACTGCACAACTGTTGAAACGCGGGACAACGGCTGATTCATTTACATTGCTTTAATATTTGGGAGCTATAGCGGTCAGTAAAACGTAAACTTTTCCTGTTATGTTCCCAGAAATAGACAAAAATTGGTTATCTCTAAGTAAACCCCATTCTAATAGTGCAACATTGTTTTTAGTCCACAAACAGCATTTCTCACCACTTCGTTAAGTGTTTAAACATCACTGCTTATGATTGTTTCTCTATCTCATAGGCTCTGCGAGCTTAAGATTGATCGATCTTTGTTCGATGCTGATAACAGCGGCTGAGTGTTGCTGATTGTGTGATCGTAGCCATAGTTTGCTTGCGGTAGGACGGTTTCTCAAACCCACAGGTCTGTGGATTTCTGCAGCGTTGGTTTCATTTTAGTTTTTATTTCGCTTGATTTCTCGATTTCCGTTTGGCCAGATCAGAACGACTGACAGATCACTCTATCCCGGGTCAAACGTTCGAACAACTTCTACCGAACCCGTGACCACAAATTGCGGCGTATCCTGCAAACATAGGCGAGAGAAGAATAGAAACTAGCTCTGAACTTTCAGGTTATACACATATACACTCGCGAGAATTAGCATAAGGAGGCTCTCGGAGCAATAAACCGCGAGGGACTTAGCGGGACAAGAATCATGTGTGAACAGTCCACAAAACCTATTCCGATGGTTGAAAGTCAAGATCCGAACTTCCTTAAGAGGACGCTATACTCAATATTTGCGCCAACCCCCCCCCCCTATGGCCTTATCCATTTAACCAATCTGTCGCAACACATACCAACTGGAATCTCGTTGATCAACTTGGCGATAGCACCTAATTTTCCCAACTTCCTTCTGTAAGCACATCCATAGGGATAGATCAGGACAAGTGATTTTTACCTACTCCAACTAGCAAACTAGAACCCACGCTTAGTATTTTGCGTCTTGACTGTGCCTTCCCTTCCGGATATATTCACCGTACCATGAGTACCGAGATAAAGATTACTCAAAACTACAGCTAGCTTGACGCCTGACAAAGGTCTTCCTTTTTCCTCCAATTGTCTACCCTTGGTAAAGTCCTATCTAGCTACCTGTACGCTCAACGTACTGCCCCTGAGGGTCATGATGGACTTATTTTGCAGCAGAGAGGATGCAAACATTCAGGACGAAAACGGGAACGAAAGCCTGTGGTCTGTCTTCACGTACAATCCTTAATCTGTAGCTCTGTCTGATGCTGGCATTTTATTTCGTGTCTGGAAAGCAAGGTTCCCAACGTGAGATGTAGATGATACTCGTTCACAGGAAGTCCGTTCCGAACATCAGCTTTTCTCATCGTATGGCACTTCATTCCGGAACTGTAGAAAATGACCTCTTTGGTCTCCTCCGTCTACCATTGGAAGATCCATGTCAACTGAACCCCTGGTCATCCACTAGTAATTCAACACTTCTCTGCTAAATCCTCTCTTACCCTTCGACGAACCGCACTATAAAGTCCAGGGTATTTCGTCTTTTTCTCACAGAAAACCACCACCACGCCAGTTACATGTATTTTAGGCAATGTGTCGCAAGGCTTCCAGCAAGGCTACTTTTAAGTGTGACAACCATTCTTGAGACACTGTACATCTTCATGTCTGCTCCGCTACTCTGCTTTCTATTCAGCATGAAAAGCATCATCATAGCTTTGTGGGAAACAGCCTAATTTGTCTTTTACGGTGAGTTGTTTTAAAATTCATATGTCGCCAATGATGTGGGGAACATCGCAGCTCCATATCACATGTTAGTTCCTTGAAATAGGAGGCATTAAAATCATCCATTCCAGGCTCCTTTCATATAAAAACATTCTCTAATGCGAAGATTTTGCTTTATGTTTAGGATTAAATGGGCACTTCCACCAAACCCAGTAAGGCTTACCGAATTGTGATTACTGGGTTTGGTGCTTTCGGCATTCATGAAGAAAATTCTAGTTCAGTTGCGGTTCAAACTCTACGTGAGTTATGGTTCAACACCGACGAATTGCATTCTTGTTCTGTTGAGTTAATAACATTTGAGAACGTTCCCGTAACCTATCGGGATTGTTTGGATATCTCTAACCGTATATGGGATAGCAATCCGGTAAGAATTTGGTATTCACTGTCGTACTTCTCTAACCAACACGTGGTGAAGTTCATACGAAATGCGTTTTGCATCATTTTTGAATTCCTCTGTCTGCTGTCCATTCTAACACTGATGTGTTGTCTTTCACGCCATCAGGCGCAATTTTTAGAGCCACTTTTCGTGTTGAAACAACATTCACTACTACTCAACACATTGGTAGTACTAATGCTTGTTTAGCAATTATCGCACGGCTTCAAATTATTACTACCTCTAATTCGCTGGTGTAATGATCATTCCTCTTTTAGGTTTTCATAAAGGTCGATAAGTTGAGGCGAGTCATTATACACCAGAGAGCTGATGTGGCAAAGTTTTATTTGTGTGTGTGTGCCATTCATGGTTGTACGTGGGCTGGGATGCTGCCAGGACGCCCAGACCTAGACAGGAGTACGATGAGGGTCTTCAACCAAAGCCTTTGGCTCAAAAGACTGACCGCAAGGCGGTGGTGTTTGGCGGGAAATGCAACTGCATTACCGTTTCTATAGAATATGTCGCTACACATGTTCTAACCCCCAGCCTGAACGGCCAGATGACTTCGCCAGACCTCTAACCATTGATCAGCGTGGCATGAGGGACTCTGTTAGTTTCGCGCGGACATCACGCAGCATAGCTCACTGGGTCACGGAGGCACACAAACCGTCACACCAATGTAATGTCCTGTCTCTTCGCGGTGGTTACCATGCGTTTCCGAAACGGAGGGCGAAAGCATCGTACTGACGGAATGTTTGGCATTATTATGTAACTTTAACGCAACAGCTATACAATGGTTCCTCCAGAAGCCTTTTAGTCAGTTCACCTTCAGCACTCGAATATATATTTCCTTCATACTCTCTTTAACTTGAAGAAAACTAACATTCTCCGAAATACTTTCTATGGTATTCTGAAACCAGCATACAATTTTTTATCTTGTATAGGATCTTGTGATTCACGTGGGACTTGATTCTTCAGCCCGTGCCGTAACCCTGGAGAGTCAAGCGTTCAATGGTCCATATAACATGCCGGATGTGGACGGGGATACTTGCAAATTTGATGGCTTGTGTTATCCCAGCGGATTGCAGCGTCTCTGCTGCAAATTAGACTTATTTCATTCCTACAACGCACTCACAGAGAAAGGTGTTCCGATGTGCCTGTCAAACAATCCCGGGTTGTTTTTATGCGGTTACATCTATTACCTGTGAGTTATCACTTGTTTGTTTCAGATTCATATCTATTATTAAGTCCTTTTGAACAAAAGTGACTTCTTGTACTGTGCTCCACCACGTGTGATAATCGTATATCAGTTGATTCTGTCCTTGATCCTTGCTGTGACACTATGCGTACATATATTAGTTGGAAACGTACATGTTTCAGTACAACTGCTTCTCGGAATTTGGGTGAAACTCTAATCGACTACAGATTCGTGATTGCACAAAGCGTAGTCGTACTCTCAATTGTGGTGGTTATTATTATCTTTGACAGCATCATGAGTGTAGGTGTTCCTCTTCCACTTTTTTGCCAGAGCTCAAAATACTTACGTAGCTTCTCGTCTTTTGTTATTCATTTTCCTCCACCTACCATGAGAAATTTTACTCTGCTATATGGCAGCTGAACCTTACTGACATAACGCAGCTGTGTAGTGATGATATGTCAGCGCGAGAGCGAAGTGTGATGAACCATTTCCTCGGTCTGAAAATGTGCACATAGTGACAAGTACTAGACCGGTGGTGCAAAAGGCGATGATAACGTCAACTCAAATAACTGGTTCATTTGAGATCAATAAGGCATTCACAGAATCCACTGAAAAATTCAACCATTCTAGGGTCCGGTAATGTCGTCATATACTTCGCGTGCCTATTTATGTAAGCTTCCTTCGATTGCCCCTAATGCTAACTACCGGTGATGTACACTTGTCACCCAGTGCATCACATGCTCATAATCTTGCCTATCTCTTGTCGACGCCTATTTCAGATCTTTGAGTCACAACACCAGTCGAACAGTCTTCATTCACGTACCACCCATTTCAGAATTATTCACTCCACTGGGTCTTGCGCAGGCGCTTTTCTCGATCATTCAGGACCTTGCCGCTCAACTTCTCATCCCAATTCCTGCAGTGTCCCTGTACCAACCATCAGATTCTGGTGCTGAACAGTCCATTCCTTCGTGATCCCCGCGATCATTTACGCAACATTTATGCACATGACGAGTACATTATTTAGACTGATGCTTTTTGACCAAATTCTAATAGATTTATTTTCATTCCACGTAGGTCTTATTTTCGCCAGTTTCTACTTCCGTTCCGGCTTTGAACATAGTAGATACCCCAACTTAGTTATTATCGTTACTTAGACGTATCTGATCACAGAACTCTCTCTGTATCCTGGGGGTAATCTTGGGATCCTATTTTATCGTACGGTCTCGATTCCGAACCGGGGACACTAGTTCGATTTCAAATGTAGGGAGCGATAAGGAAGTCGACAAGCGTATCGATCGTTTGACACGGAGGAACTTCCCACAGCGTGCCACTTACTTCGATTTTCATGATTCAGCTGTAGAATCTGTTGACAGGTAACTTACTGACGGTTGTGGAATGTTATACCAATCTAACTCAGAACTTTTTTGTTTAAAACGTAATTAACACGTATTAGGCCTGATTACTTAGGAGGGAGTTTCGCAGAGTAAATCAGTTTGCTGCTGGTGTCAAATAAGACACGGGGAAGCTTCCCACTTAAATTGAGATCGTTAGTTTTACTGAAGAATATATGCAAACTCCGTGTAGCCTGAAAGGCAATGTGACTATTTTTCTACTTTTTGACTGGATGCTAACTTTCCTGGTAACACACTCGTCACTACGGGCATAACTCCTCCCTAGGTCTTGCTGCTCTTTTGCTCCACTTTCGGAACACCGCTTTTACTTAAGTGCAAACCAGGATTAATCGTTACAACAAGCCCTTAGGCGGTGACTGAGTTCTCTTCTTTTACTTCCCCATTCAGTTGTTGGCAAATTAGAGCACCTAAGGCTTGCTTGAGGTTAACCTGAGTTTGGGAGTGGTATGGTATATTAGGTTCAAATTCCACCCACGTTTCGCGGCACTCCCGTCGACAGTAGATTTTTTTCGTCAATATCGAATACCTCTGGACTGTAACGTACAGCCATTGTCATGAAAGTCAAACTGATTTTGTGATATATGATTCACCTTCGCAACGGCAATAAAAAATTCGGGATTTATGAAACAAATCACTACGTTCACTTTGGTAATCTCGATAAATTCGGTTATTCTCAGCCAGCCCTGTGCTACAGAAAGCGCTGATACTTTGACCTTCAAATCAATAATTCTTGACGTTCCTGGTGCGTTCCTTGCGTTCCTAGTGTATATTATCTCCGAATTCTTGGGTGTCTGATTACAGCTGAATTGAACCACACAGACACCTACAGCGCATGTTTATTGGCTCACCTGGCTGTGCATACAGGGTCGCATGCCTTTGTCACTCGGAATCAAAAGAGGGTAACAGCTCATCATCCTCATTTACGCAAGTAACTTCGTTGCCACTCAGGTGGCCATAAAGTTTCATTCCTTCGTCGTGGTCATACTGCGAAGTTTTTTTTAAATGAAAGCTACCTCTTCTACTTAAAAACAGCCCAGCTCAGCGAACAAAGCAACGACCATCTATGCTACCTGAGCTACCAGCATTTTCCTCTATAGACAAAAAAACACACCGTTAATTCATTTAATCTCATTTGAAGTGACTATACTACATAGCTGGTAGATCTGGGTCTATTCATCTACCAGATGAGGTTCATATCGTCGAACTACGCAATCTGTTTTTTGTTATGGCCCAGTGCACATTAAATGGGCTGATTTTGAGATGCAAAACAGCGTTCTTGTGGAAATGGCTATTTTACCTTACGGCTGTCTGGCTTTCTCCATGGTTTGTACGGATTCACATCGTAGATTGAGTTATTGGCATGTTTGTGGGATTGCTGCTCAATGTTCAATGTACACATTCCCATCGTTCTGCCTTACTTCGAATGACTCAGTATCCGGTTGACTCGACAAGTTCCTTGATTCTGCACTATAATAAGCCATTCAACAGCTGTTGGAGTAAGTACTTAACCTGCTACACTGTTTGAAATAACTTATTACAATAGGTATCTTTTTGCCCTACTTTTAGGTTATCTAGCCGCTCGTCTAGAAAAGTACACAGTTTGTGTGTGCAGTGGCCATGAGGGAACAATCGTGGCCTACCCTAGAGAAGACCAACAACGGATGCATGGCTCTATACACTGGAATGTTAATTGATTAATGAGTGTTTTACTCGTACTCTAGGAGACACCGTACCCGTTGGGAATTCACAACTTATCTACTTAAGGATAAAAAGGATAGCAACCAGTCGATTGCTAGTGATATTAGGTGTGGATTGTATGCCCAACCCGCCAGTGTTATCATTAGCCCCATCTCCTCTTAACGACTTTTAAAGCGCCCACAGTGCCGGCTCAAAAGTCCATCCAGTTCGCTTGCTCCTTTCATTACTTTTCGGGCATTTTCCTTGCTTAACATAGTCCTTGTCTTTCGCACCCGGCTGAAGTTTCCCTAAGATACAATTGGTGGGGTAAGTAAAACACTCAGATAAGTTGCTGCCCTTAGATTCCATTCCATCGACTAAGAATGTTATACGCAAGTCTTGAACTGTTCGCCGCTGATCATCACCCTCCCAGAGTCCGTCATAATGTTGCGCTGAGACATAACCGCCATGGTGAGGAAACATCTACATAGACGTAGACGAGTTGGGTATAGCGATCGGTGAGCTGCCCCATAACAGCGTTCGTTTGAGCTTTCCAAGTGTACATCAGATTGGCGGAAACTTTATGTTCATATGTGATTTTTTCTCCGCGATTCTCATCCTTGTAATCACCTATGAATGATTATTGACCACCATGGCGAATTACTGAAGAATGGTTTGACTACCACTTGTGTCAGAACGGTGTCGAGAATCAAAGATAGTTCACGCACCGCGCTTTCAGTTCTGAAACTTTCGATTAGGCTGAACTGTGGTTCCGCCTTTTAAGAGGCATTCACACTGTTTACCACAATGAGCGCCGCTACGCAGCACGACTGACTTTATCCTGGTGACGATAAACTACTTTGGACAATAGATGAGTAGCCAGATAACTGAATAATTTCGTATGAAATCATATAGCAACTGGAGCTTCTCACCACAACCTGCTTATGGGTGATGGCGTTATTGTTCCCTAGAAGATGCAGCCGGCCTAGTGCCTTGAGGAATTACATTGCACGGCAGAAGCACTGTTCTGCTCTCTCTCACTCTTTGTGTGTCAAAATTTGCGTACTAACACGGGACCGTCTACTGACTAAATTGACGAAAAATCGCTGACAGCTAGTTAGAAGAAAGCAGTAGGCGTTTTATGGCCTCGGTTCGAAATTCCCGACCTAAAACCGCCACCTTGACGTGGTGGTCGAACTTGAGTGCTGCAATCATCCCGCGGATTATACTGGCTGGAATTTCGTTCCATAAGGTGCAACAATGTTAAGAAGGCCAAACGGAGCAGTCGGGCCAAGAGCCGCGAGACCCCGTACTACGGGTAATCGTGCTACGAAGCTGTCTGGAGGTAAAGTCTTACTGTCCTCTGCGATAGGACTGTGAAGGCAGTACGGCGTTTCCCCCAGAAGACTAGCCTGTCCACATTTATGGAAGCAGTGATCCTGCTTTTTCCAAAGGAATGACGGGTTAGAAAAGGTCGGCCCCAAAAACCACACACTCCGATCACCCAACGGTTGATCGTGACCGCCGGCGCATTACTCAACACGGTCGAAATACTTTCAAAACCAGATTCCGGGGCTGCTCGAAAGGCACCTACTGTGCGCAGCCTCATCAGGAATGAGACAGTAATGCCCCACTCACTACACCCTCGGGTAAGGCCACCCCCTGCATCTGAGCAGGTCAGACTGTTGACTCATCGGCTCCGGGCAGGGTCCCCGAAGAAATCCCCACTGTCCTCTGCTTCGCCGGTCAGACTTTTGAGTCAGAAGCTAAGGGCATGGTCTTCCAACAAAATCCTACATCCTCCCACTGCTTTGTAGGTCAGATTTTTGTTTCAAAGGCTCAAGGTGAGGTAGCTCAGCTAAACCCTCTTCCTCCGCCTGGACAACCGGGAAGTGTCATTTGCCTGCACAGTTCTGTGTCCACCGATGCCCCTTCCTAATAGCCTCCCACCACACGTGCAAATATAGTTGGATCATTTGACTCACTTATCTGACCGAGAGGCTCCCCTCCAGTTGACAATAAACAAAATAAAGCCTCTCTAAATCCATGAGATCCTTTCTATGTAGGGGCTTTTAACATCCGTATTGTATGTCGAATTTACAAACGGGAAACGGTCACTGAAACCTTATATTCCCTTGAAATTGATGTGTTCTGTGTCTCCAATAAATTCTTGACCCTCTTTAAGGTGCCGTACGCCAAGTCCCGCGGGCGTGTGAAGGTCTACGGCAGGTTCTCACCTCAGTTCATCACATCGAGTCATATCAGACAAGGCTGTCCTCTTTGACCTTTCCGCTTCAACTTCGTCATTCAAACGATTATGGAAGACTTACTATCAGCCTCTAATGCCTGTGGGGTCGAACTACCCCCTGGGCATCCGCTCACAAATATCGAGTACGCAGAAGACATAGCTCTTCTGGGATCCGATTCCATGGTAATGCAAACAATATTAAATAATATAAATAATTTGCATCACGGTTTGTCATGCGGTTCACACCTGAAAGTGCTACTGCAAGGTTGGGTAGGTACAAACCCTAACCTTGCGGATGAGCCGCTTGAGGCAGTAGACGAATTTGTTTACCTGGGCAGCTGTATCGGTCCCGGTGGTCTTGCGAAAGATTATATTTCCATCCGGATCGGAAAGGCCAGAGCAACATTCGTGAACCTATGTCACTCGTGGCTACGGCAGTGAATCATCGGTGTTGAACACTGATGTCATGCTCTCGATGATGATGTCACTCGTGGCGTAGGCGTGACTTCAGGTTATCCGTCAAGGGTCGAGTTTATATTCCTGCGATGCGATATATATTGCTATACGGATCAGAAACCTGACGCTGTGCGCTGAGGACGCCAAAAGACTTTCACTCTGACAATCGATGTCTTCGGAGCACTGCCCGAATGTGGTGGGAACACCAGTTCAGCTATGCTGAAATTCGTCCAAATGGTATTCGGAAACAGTAACTCACGCACGATAGATGAACTG